ACATTGTAACATTGAATTTTCTGCATATAAATGAATTAATTTTCTGCCGACGCATCCTCGAAGCTCCTGTGGCTCTGACTCCGGTCTTTGTCCTGTCCTCCGTATCAGCAGAATACCATCCCCATCCCCATCCTCATCTCATCTCTTCGAGGCTGCAGGCATTGTGTACCGGGCTAATTTCCATAAACCCCCCTTCTTTTCCATAGAGGCGAAGAAGTCGCAACGCCATTGTTATGCTAAAGTTCGCTCTGCGAATTGCGAAAGGGGTTGCAAGTTTTAGCCTCAAATATCGGTGGGTTTTGGACAGGGAAAAACAGACCACCGGGCTCGAGTGGGAATCCGCTAAAAATTTTTGCTAGCCAGAGGCCCAGAGAGGATAAGCTCACCACCAAACCAAATTGTTGCACAAATGTCTTTCGTGGAATCCCGGCCAAACAGGAGAGCGAATAATGGAAAAAAGGAGCAACCCATGTAAGCACCTTAAATATAGAGGCCGTAGCGCCCCTGAAACCTGCCTTCTTTTTATAGATAAACACTGGTAAAAACAGTTTTGGTTTAGGAAATAAGTTTGAAATTTAAAAAACATAGAAGAATAAAACACTTAATAACCGGTATTCATAGAAACCAATACAAAATATTTAAAAATTATCGAACCTTAAGAATTTTTGATACTAGTAATTTTCATTAGGATCAATAAAGATCTACTTCCTCCAAGAATATGTTTAACACGCTTTTTATAATCCAACAATATCGATATTAACAATAACATATCAAGAGCTTTAGATATAGATGCATTATATACCTAGAAGCTATCGGATTATATTTTCGAAACAGCAAAATCCTCTTAAATGAAATTACTACTAAATACCGTATATTTTAACCTATCGGATCTCTAGTATTTAAGATAGAAGTTATTTTTAATAATTTTGATTAGAGATATACTTGTTCCAAGAATATGAATAGCTTGTTATATCTATATTTCTCTCGGTGTACAGATATCGGGCAACTGTAACTATTCTGCCATTATCCCAGGGGCCTAATCGTGCGTGAGTAAGGGCGAGGATATGATCGTTCTCCGGCTGAGCTGCTTAGGTTATTGTGCAGTGTTGCCTGCAATTGCCTGTGAAATTGCATTGAAATGCGAATTGCATTATGCATTAGGACCAATACGGCACAGTAGCTACATCAACTGTGGAAACACCAACAACAGATCGACGCCCCGGCAGTCCTGTCAATCAAAATAGATCGCTTAGGGATAGAGCTCGGGATGGGGGAGTGAGTGTAAGGTGTTCGCTGTCAGATTTTCTCCAAAACGAATCGCTATAAATTTTATACGCTTCTTGAAACTTTATTTTATGGCTGTGCCAACAATGGCCAAAATGAAAACGAGCAGTGAGAGAGAAAAATGGAGTAGAATAGAGAAACTACCAGCGGAATGGAACGCCGTTAATTTACGAGATATACTCCCCATGGTTTTTCGGTTCTATTTGGTCCATTTTGTGTATACAAAACGGGCGAGTGCAGAGATCGGAGCAACGGATCCGGGACTTTCATTCGTGTGAATTTGAAATAAAACACACTGCACCTAGTAAAAGTCATCGGCGGAAAGGGGAGGGCTGCGAAGTGCCCAGGGGCGGGGAGGGGGTTCGCGATCCCCATAACTTCTTAAGCTTGATTGCCAGAATTTTTTAATTGCCAATAACTTATGGGGTATCCATTAGTTCTAAGCACCTACATTTGGGTTTGGGCGATTTTAAGATGCAGTGTACTAGCATTTAGAAGATATAGGTACATCAAAAAGACAGTCTTCAATAGGTCACACTTAAGTTAAAATAATCAAAACTAAAATTTTGTTATTTTTGGTTTTATCAAAAGCACTTACATTATATATAATGCGATCTTTAGAAATTGCGATCTTTAGAAATTGGTATTGTATTCCAACTTCTTTAATAACCTCACTCTCCACAACATAAATGATTAAAAATTTAAAAAATTTGATTGGTACCTTGCTCTATTTCAATATTATATCCACTTTACAACAAGATCTCCCTTATAGTAAATCAGAATGGAGGCGCCATTAAATCCCCATACAACCATTTAAGTACCACGTCCATGTGCCATCTGATGAAATCGTGTAAGATCCCAAGATCCCCAGCTCTGTGGTATCCACAGATGCCAGCGACATGCCACAAATGGACTGTGGACTCCCTCCCCCGGATCTCACCTCCCCAATCCATCCGATCCATCCAACCAATCCATATTCCTCCCGATAGATAGTGACAGCAGAAGACCCCAAAAGTCCCGGGTAAAGTCTCGCGACCCGGACATGTGTCAAATCAACGCGTTAAATGTTTGTGGAGCATTTAAAAAATATTTTCATGTAATTTGGTAAACTAATTGTAGCTCCTGCCGCTGTTATTGTTGTTTTGACAATAAGGCATTTGTAGCTTTTCAACGATGAGAGGGACGTGATTCGACTTTGATTGACTTGGGCTGACAGACAGACTGACTGCGAGTTGCAGTTCCAGTTTCAGGCTCTTTTCATGTCTTGTGGACTGGGGTTTTCCGGTATTCGTATGCCTTGTTGCATTATGTTCGACATCGACATGTAATTGATATATTGGATGCAGGCGCTCTGCCAACGATCCACCCACTCTCCAGCTCGATATCCCTATCCCCCCACTAAACAGATGTTTTGCATGCTAATGTTTGTTTACTTAGTATTGTTTTTAAACTAATGCTGATGCTTCGGTCTGGGATTGTAGGAGTTTGCATCTGAGCCGATCCGATGCGGTTTTCCATATGCTAAGAGGGGGAAATTCTTAATTGGTTGGATATTGGAAAGCAATTAAGAGCTGGAAAAGGTGTTGTATAGGATGTATTTTGAGATTGATGATGGGGCAAAGTAAATAGGTAGATAGATATTGTAGTATTTGGTGGCTATCAAAGATTTAACTTTATTAAATAACCAATTCTATTTTCCAAAATGTTTTTCAAAAATATATTACTTTGCAAAAAGATACATTTTATATAATCTAATAATAACAATAATTGTAGAAATATTAAAATTTATTAGGTGCATAGATACTTTTTGCGATATTTATTTAGTAAGTTCCCTATGCACATGACATTAAACTGTTTTCCCAGTTCATCCGGTAAAACTTCCAGCTTCCACATTCCAGGGTCTCGTTCATCCGCTGCAATCACTCAAAAATTCTATAGAAAATGCATAAAAACTCAAGCATGGTTTGTATACACAAATTTGTTTGCTAGTAATTAACAAATTTAGGGGAAACAATATCATTAATCCTCGACAATATAAAATCAGAGTTTATTTCCAACAATAATACAAACATTTAATGCCCTGCGATTCCGAAACCCCGTTGTCGTAGGGCTTCCCCATACCAAATCCTCCGTCCTGGGCTGTATATCAAATCTGTAATAAGTGCTGAGTGCAGAGGGGTGGGGCAGTGGGGGATCGGGAGCCGGGAATCCGGTTGGGCACATGCCTCGAATGGGCAACGGACCGATTGTGTTTTTTTCTGGGAAAAAACTGTCGACGCAACGTCTACGGTGCAGCAGCAAGTCCATAAAAAGCAGGCGAGCGCATAATGGCAATGCCCATTAAAAAAGGTGCAGAACGCTGTTGATGTTTATGGCCACATCGTTCAGATATATAGCCCAGATATACACGAAACGGTGCCAACTAGTTGTGGCTGAATTCGATGTGTCAGTTGATGGAGACATTTGGGGTGCTTAATAAGGTTTAAATTAAAGATTAAAATGCCAGGGAAATACAAGTATAAAAGATTCAGAAACAAAAAAAAAATATTCCATATAAATATGTAAAAATCTTTACTTGTCCTAAGAAACATTTTAAATAATAACAGAAAATAATTCACGATTAAAACAAACCTTTCCCCACAGTAAAAAATTCTTACGAAATGTGTAACATAGAAAATATATTACTTGTTAAATGAAAATAAAATGAAAAGCAACAGTAATTTTGAGAATTGTTTCTTTGTGTTATTGTTGTTTAAAATACGAGTAAATCATCGAACTTAAAAAGAACTTACAAAATGTTGATTCCCCTTTACTTTAATAGATTTTCTCTTACAAATTTTGCTTAAATAAGTACTGACACATGGTACACATTATCTACAAAGTACCCCTTTGATCCCAAACACTTCTTAAAAAATAAATGAAAGCTCTAAAACCTGAACTCATTTATGTGAAACGATTTCAGCCAAGTTTAACACTCTGTAAATACAATCTACTTGTCTGCCTTTTCAGTGGTGGAAAGTGCCCTTGACATTTGCCTTTTACCTTTCTCCAGTCCCCAGTACTTTGAGCATTTCCTGTTTGCTTAACTGATTTCTTTCCTCTTTTTCCGAGGGGTCATGTCTTTCGGCCACCTTTCCCAACGAGTTTTCCCAGCGATCGCCGGCCAAAATGGCCGCCACAGTGGTAACCACCATGGAGTGGATGGAGTGCAAGTACAGAGCCACCCCGAGAGCACAGACTAGACAAATATTGAGTTTTTCAATTAGCACCCCGAAAAGTTGTCTCTCAGCCTTTTAGCCGCCCCTTTTTGTGTCTGGTCTGGTCTGTCAAAAAAGGAAAACTTACCCTTACTTGGCGCAATGTTCGTCCCGTCTCTTTCGGCCGGCAACGTCCCGTCTCTTTCACTTTTCCGTTTTTGGGCACGGGAGCGGAGCGGTAGTGTTTGTCTAAAGGATCAGGCTTTTGTTTGCGTACGGCCGCGTTAATTGCCCATAGTGGCGAGCGTTTAAAGCCGCCACAAATCCCCACCGACGAAATGTCATGCCGCCCCTCGTCGCCACGTGTTATATTACCTTGGGAACTGGAACTTCTCCATCTCCCCCTCTACTTTTTTTTTTATTTTGTGTGCGCAAAAGATAAAGCAAACCGATCCCGGAGTCGAGTCCTCCTTTGGTGTTTGCCCCAGCTTGTTTTTCATGTTGTAAAGTTAATTATAAATTAAATATTGATTCTGTGCGTGCGACCGGCTCTCTCGATTTTCCCATTTCCACCCATTTTCCTCACCCGTTTTCCAATTCCCCATTGCAGTCTTGAATTTTTTGCAAGCCGCCAGAACGGCATGAAATTGATTGGTCACGTATGATTTATTAATATTTTCTTTTCATTACGCATCCGCAGCGTTGACAGCAGCTGTTTTAATTGGTTTAAAATTTCCAATGCACTTCAATTGGGCCGCCAACGCCAATTTGGCCCGCAGTGGTCTGAGGTTTAATGGGCCACAGTTGTTCGGCTTCCGATTTGCATTTCGATATGGACACTTGCAGTAGCAAGTCATGTCTTCTGCAGGATTGATGGTTGTACTATGTGTATTGATGTCTGCCTGCTCAAGTGGCTATCAATTAGTTTTATTGGATTTTACCAAATGTTTTGCTTACCCAAGTGCAGGCTTAGTGCTAGTCATGTCGTTGTAAAAGTAAATAGCTTGTATTTCGAAGATAGATTCTTAAATCCTCTAAATTGATTGGGTAATTTTATTGTTTTGGGCTGCTAATTGGAATCTCTGAAATAATGTTGCCTTGTGAACCGAAGTATGCTGGATAAAAGAAGGGATTTATTTGGTATTTCTAAACATGTCATTGATACTACATTTTAGTACTAGCTTGTGTGCGCTGAGTTTTGGTTTATACAAATTAAGGATTATAGAAATTAAGGATTAATTAATTGAAAATTTTTAAGAAGCATTATAAAGCAGTTGCACTTCATTGAAATATCATTCCAATCGAAGTCTAGAACAAGAACTAGTGATTAGAGTGTTTTGGCTAACTGATTTTGATAGGGCAACATTAAATTATTTGGATTGCTAACCGTCTTACCTATCTTATTTCTTTATTACCCATAAGGTAATATATAAGAAAAATAAAATATCAGAAAGTTTATTTAAGATTAAGTGTATGGAAAATAATTTAGTTTTTGTAAGATAGAAGAGATTGAAATTTTTACTATGAACAATTAATTATATTATTAGTTATATTTATTTTCTTCGTTGGTTTCAGTTTCCATTTAATTTTTATAAGGTATGTGGTGGGTATTTAATATACCAACAGTAATGTATAATTTTGATATTAATTATAGTTTTATTAATTATGATAATAGGTTATTCACTTAGGAATTTTTAAAGGAAATCACTAATTTGAATGTAAACTATGTAGCATTAGTTCTCGTTTTAAATTACTTGTTATATTTTGAATTTACTACATCTATTAATTAATAAAAAAAATTAAATAAATAAATATGTTATAAATTATAAACTGGTGATAAAATATTTTCTACCTTAAAGTTTGTTAAGCCAAGTTGCTTTATCTTTGTAAACCGAACTCACCGCAAAATATGCAAACAGCGACGGCAAAACCTGAAAGATGCACAGTTCACTCACACCAGCACAGCGGGGTCGCCTCACACACACCAGCTCACAAATTTGTATCTATGTGGGCCGACAGGTAAAAGCAACCAAGATGGACAGGTCGGAATCGGAACGGGAATAGCAGGGTCTCAGGGGAAAAGGGGATCTCGGGGGTCTTGTTGCCAGTAATTTATGTGCGGCCATCGATGGTTCAGGTTTTTGGCTGTGGAGGTGAGGCAAATGGCCACACCGTTGACCGACTGGTCAAAACAAGTCCACCAGAGGCGGCGAGGGGGAGGGGGCTTACCTCCGATGTGGATGGGATATGGAATATAGTTGTCGAGAGCGGTAGGAGACCTGGAGATCTGGGCATCGAGAGGCAGACTGCGAGGCCCGAACGAGTTGTACTGTTCAATTGCCAATTGTTGTAGTTTCCCAAGCCCCCTTTCACCCCCGAGCCTCTGGCACCCCCTCCCCTGGCAGTCCACCCCCCTCGTTGGTGGCAGAGACGTCGACGCTTGTGCTCTCTGCCGCAGCCGTGCTGCGAATGTGTTGGTGAGATACTTTTGCATCTGTGAGATACTTTTGTATCTGTGCTGCGCAGTCAACGCTGTGGGCGTGGCCTGGCCAGTACAACATTTTGCCAAAATACTTTTTGTGTGTCTCGTCGCTCAATTTGAATTTTTGCCCCTGCTGCTGCGTACGGCACGCCCCAGTTAGATACATAAATATTTATAAACTTTAGATACTTTTCGCTAGGGTTTTCTGCCAAGGTGTGAACTCGGGTTTCAGAGAAAGAGAGGTACCTCCAACCGACCACAAAAAAAATACACCGATTATGAAAAAGTTTTGCTAAACGACGGAAGCCAAAGAGCAGAAAAAAAGAACGTAGGTACATATATCTAAAATGGCCGAAACGTGGAAATTTCTTCAACTGAATCCCGCCTTCTATTTATTTGGTTAGCGATTTCTGATTTTTTACAAGCCACCACAACCTGGTCAGGTTGTCTTCTTCGCATTTATCTATTTTGCATAATTTTGCTAATTTTCATTGTTTATTTTCGCATTCGATTTGCCTTCTCTCTCTGGGTTTTAGCCCCGCATTTATTGGCTTTGTGTTTGTGTCAATAATCGTTTTTCCCTCGCCTTTTTCTATTTATTTTTTTTACAACGATTGTGCTAATTTATTTTATTGCATTGTGCAAATGTGTCTGTGTGCGGGTGAGTTTTGTAATTGCTTTGATTTTTGTCTGCTTTGGCTAAAAATTTATTTGAAATTTTAATTGTGAAAATATTATGCCAGGGATTATGCGATTTATTTGTTATTAAACGGAAGTCATGAAAATGAAATTGGAAATTGTAATTTCGATTGTAATTTACCAATTTTGTATTATTGTTTTCGCACCGTCCGTCTGTGCGTCTATTGTTGTTATTTATTTGAAATGTATCCGGCGGATAAATTGTGCACACAACGCGCACATGCACTGGCATATTTTTTAATGAAGCCTGAAACATTTCAATTTCCATTTCCATTCCGAAATGGCTCTGATTGCCAACTTTTGTTTGTTATTGAATGATTTGTTCTAAAATTTTATGATGCATAGATTTGTGTAATATTTCAATTAAATAGTCAATGGAATCATTTGGATAAATATGTGCGCTTGAAATTCGAGTGTGTGAGTTGTGTTGCTGCTCTCAGGTTAATTAACTTTTATGAAATGAAAATGTTTGGATAGATGGATTTAACTTTTTTAGTGGCTTTGTTTGGCTGCTAATTTGATAGGAAAATATGGACTTAGAGCTAAGATGCAGTTGTCTTGCCAACTTGTGCGACTTGTTTAATTGGTAAAGTTAGCAAGTACTTGAGACGGGCTTCAAATATACGAACAAACTATTTAATGGAATCTTTAAAGCCATTTGACACTATTTACAGGTGACCCAATAATCTACAGATATTTTAAAGATAAAATTTTTTAAAAAATTATTTTTAAAACGGTGTTTTAAATTGAAACCTATATTGTCGAATTAGACAGTTAACTTTCAATATTAAGCCAGTATTTGTAGCTTAAATGATTTTACTATTTTTTATTTTTAAAGAATTTAAGGGTTTATTTTATGGTCTATCATGTAAGGAATTTAATACTTCCCTTATTCGCATATATCAAAAAGCCCTATATCATCCTTTATTCCAGTTCCCATTGGCTTTGCCGAAGAGTAAACACCATAAATCGATTGTTGATTTTTTGAAGCGGCTATCCGCTCTTTCCGAATGCATTTAAGGCGGCATTCAGCGGAAATTGAATTTCCAGGGAGTAAAACTAATTAAATGGTAGCACTTTAGTGGCCACAGCCGCCGAAGGAGTCGCAGGAAGATGGAATGGGATGGACATAAACGAGGCAGATAGTCGCCATTACGAATGCCAATTGAAAAGGCGACAAAACGCAGCCAAGAGTGGATGGTTCAGGGGGAATCCTGTGGCTGTGGCAATGGCAACAAAAACTGAAACTCGAATTTCGAATTCGGGCATAAGTGACAATTCAATAAGCCATGACGTGCCCAAATGTTTATTTAGCATATAGCGACGGGCGAATGAGCGACGCTCGACTGGATCGGGGAAGTCGGCAGCAAGGGAAGTGGCTATAGCTATAGGAATTGGTATGGGTATGGTTATATAGGGGAAGAGATATAGCGATATAGCTGCTGCGGAAGTGCGCGAAGGGACTCGGTCTGCGCTACAGGGAGAGTGCTCCGCGTCTGCCTTTAAACGGTGGTATATTTCAGGCAGACAATTTACTCGACCCATCACCATTGCCATCAGCAGCGATACACGCTGGAAAAATATTACTAAAAATTGTATTTAATTTAAAAATCCATCTATATAATGGTTAGGAGGAGATAAAATGATTTCTTCTTACCAAAATAACAATATAACAATGACCATATAACAATGAAATTATAAAGCTAAGAATACAATAGAACAGAATAGATTTCCTTTGCAAACCAAACTAGAAAGATAATGTTTTTTAAAACAATAATATTCTAAACAATTTTAATATAATACTAAGAAATTTTTGACCCTTCGAAAGATTTTCAAAAACCTTCTAAATATATATAGATAAGAATATATATATATAATATATATATATATAGATAAGAATATATATATGTATATATACGATAAGAATTTTTGAACTTAGTTCATACTTATTTCTTTTGATAAGGCGAGTTTAAAGTATACAAAGTTCCATCTTTAATATATTTCTACGACATTCAATGACTACATTTTAAAATACAAAAGCATTTGAATAAGGTGCCTATTGTATGTAAAAATCAACATGAGAAAGGAGCAATAATCGACTGAAATTCTAGGTAATTTCTCCCAGTGCAGCCGCCTCGTTGGCCGCCACTTTCATAAAATGTTGCTGCTGTCGCTGCGATGTTGCTGCCGTGCTGTGGTTGCTGCGGTGCTGTGGCTGTTCAAGAGAGATGAAATGTTTATTTAGGACAAATTGTCTTGGCTCGGCGGTGAGTGTAGGCAGCAGGAAATTGTTCATTGCAGGGCGGTCGAGGGTTATACGTCTGCGTACCTTGTTAAAACCCTAGCCCAGCCTCAAAATGGCTTACCAATTAATATGCCTCGGTTGAAGAACAGAGTATAATCACTTTCATGGGCGTTACTCGTCAAATTGACTGCGAAATCTTCCGAATTGTTGACATGTGCTTGCCTTGGGGGGGAGTACCCTCCATCTCGGGATCCCCACTCCCCCGAAAATCAACCTTGACTGCATCTTTCCGCTCGGCTTTTTTACCAACTGCTTCTTTTTTGGGCCTTGTTTGCTTAGCCGCGCGCCATTGACGACACGTTTTCCCATTCAACTTCCCAACTTCCCAGCTGCCCGTGCATCGCTCAACTAATTTCGTTAATCTGCGGTTGCAGATACATTTACAGATACAAATTCAAATTCAGCCACGGATACAGATACATCCACTCTTGTTGATTTTCGGATGTGTTTTCGTTGCTTATCAGCTGCATAATTAATGGCCGTGCTGCCAATGGGATCGCAAGTATCTGTCAGATACGTTTTTAATAATCTCGCTGATGGCTACTTTTGGATGCAGATAAGTATCGCGCTCGAGTGGCTGCCATTTGTCGGATACTTGTCAATTAATGCTGAAATTATAATTTCATAAGTACCTACATAATTTGATGAATGATAGAATAAATGACTATGTGGAAAACATGTGTATTGATGGATTTACGGGCAAAGATATATATATATATATATATATGTTTTAAAGAATTTTTTAAATTATTTTAGATTACTAAAATATAGTTTCTTTAAATTTTAAGAAGAAGAATTATGAGACCAATTTAATAAATAATTAAGCACATAAGAAAATAAATCGTTAGGGAGTTAAGTCAAAAAACTTTTAAATAAGGCTCACTTTGTTTTACACTTAGTTAAAACAGAAGTAGAAGTACCTTAAATAAATTAAATACCTCAAACACCACTTTATGCTTTTAAAATCCTGATAAAGCCACGCCCATGCTGGGGGATTCCCAGTCCTTGGAGGAAACCACCCCCTTGCACCACCCAGAAGCCCCGGAGACCAGTGTCTTTACATATTTGTCAACGTCTTCGTCGTGGTAGACTCATTCTCCTCGCTCGCCTCGCTGCAGTTGTTTTCCCAATGTAAATATTTAAATATTTTCAAGACAAACATTTGCGTGTTGTCTCTGAAAATATGTTGATAAAATATTTGCTCAGCAAACTGGTTAAAAATTACAACAATTCCCCTTCGCCGTCGTTCTGTCTGCCGCTGACTTTGGCATTTGTTTTATTAATTTTCTCAACACTTTTCCCGCTAGGCGTAGAAAAACAGCAAACAGGCCACAAGCTCAGACCAAAATCTGCATGCACTTAAAAAATAAAATATATTTTAATTGCATATCTACTAAGACAATAAAACATTTATTGATATTTATAAGAACTTAAATCTGTTTTTAGAAATAAAATGGACTAACATCTTTTAAGATAAATGTATTAGATTTAAAACAATAATTTTAAGTTTTTTTCAACTTGTTATTTTTTAAGAATTTTATAATTAGTTGTTTATAAACATAATATATATTTTATATTTCATTTATTTTTTCATGTAACGACCAAATCATTATTTATGGTACTTTCAGGTAAAATTTTCTTAGTGGATCGATTTTTGATTTCTTTTTTTTGTGAGTTATATCCAATTTTGCATCTGGCGGATTGTTCTTTTCTATGCACAACTATGCACTGGTTGTCCGTGTTTGTTGTTGCTACAATTATTGTGCCCGTTGCCTATTGTGGTTGTAATTTTGTTGTTATAATTGCCAGAACCGCTTGTGCAGACAGCGCGGCACCAAGTGTTTCACATCCCAAAAGCAAAAAAAAAATGGAAAAATACGAACCCCAAGCGAAAAGAATAGAATCAAATATGGAACAAAGAAAATAGATTTTCTGGGATGCTCTACTTTAGCCCAATTTGCATTGTGGTCAAAATGTTGAGAACTTCATCTTCATCCCTGTCCTTCCGGGCTTATCCCAATTTTTTATCCGACATTCAAGTGAGCCGTCAAAAGGTCAAAAGGAGAGAAAAGAAAAAGACCCGACAGGCGGTCCACTCTTCTATTTTATTTCCCCGGTCGAATGAATCAAGTCGCAGCGGCTGGAATCTCACATAACACATCCCAATTGCCACCGGCTGACATTAATTGTAGCGCAAACGATCGATTAGCAACATTTTAAAATTCATTAATGAATTGCTTCTCAAACACACGTACACCACGCACCCAAGAACTATGTACATAAATAAGCAATCCCCACATGCGCGCCCCCAAGTCTCTGAAAATATGGGATCGGGGGAGCAGGTTGGCCAAGAAGGCACAGTGTCTGCCAGAAGTCGGTTCCACAGGAAAGGTGTAGCTTAAAAATGTTGCTAAAAAATGATGTAGCTAAATCGAGGTTAAGTTTAAAAATAAAGTGGTCTATAATAATAATAAGCTAGAAAAAGTAAGATATATTGTGATTTTAAGAAATGCATTCTATAATATTATAATATATAACATTAGTTCTCATTTGCATAAGTTATTAATAAATCGTGGTTAGGTAAATAATAGTATCTAAGTGTTGATTAACCTTTAATCCTTTTTCTCGGAAGAGGTGAAAGCCCTAAGAGTGTATCGATAGTTTGATAGTCTAATGTCATTCAAGTTACCTTGTCTAAACATCACTTGGTAATAAAACTGCAAGGAATATATTTTCTAAAAAATAACATGCCACGTTTTTACGAAGTAAGAAGCATTTTTAATACAAAAAGAATCGAAAATTCTGTACCCAGATATTGTTGAATTTCCAGAAACACATGAAACATAAGATCTTTATCCGCGAGCCGATTCGCGATAAGCCTGCGACCGAGCTGCCAGGAATCGGAGAAACAGTGGGCTACAAACTGGCCAAGGCGGGATTTGAAAAGGCTAGCACCGTTCTGGGTCAGTTCCTCCTCTTAAAGATGGACAAGGATTTGTTCTGCGAATGGATGTTTATAACCTGTGAGGCGAATCGCAAACAATGCGAAGACTGCTGGGAGTGTCTGCGTAAATGGTGTAACACCTTTCTGTAAGGCATTGTTGCTTATTTTTTGTTAATAAACCAGTGCCAAAAATTAAAAACATTGTATAGATTCAGTCCAAACATAAACCAAACATATAGGGTTATAATATTGCGCCACTGGTATTAAACCAAATATTTTAAAAACCTTTTATTCATTAAAAAAATGAAAACATATATTTTTTCTGTTCAATATTGTCTGCATGCTATCTTCAATCACTGTTTGACTTTTACTTCCTCACACACACGCAAGCACAATAATAAATCGAAGAGAAAACTGTCTGAAAAATGACGAGCTGACGATTTGTATGGTATTTTGATATCTACAGACAGCAACAATACCAAACCCTAAGCAAGCAGAGGCGTGGTTAAAAGGGGTCATCTTTGGACCCCCACCGTAATCATTGTGCCATAGATAAACTGACCTAAAATATCACAAGTCCAACTTTAAAGTTTTGGGTACCAAGCCCTTTTCAGCAATTTTGTACACCCCTCTGGCGGCATTAAAAAATCTTATTATGCACAAATAAATACTAGGGGCAGCCACAATTTTCCCCAAATAGATAAAAATGAAGAAAAGTTCGTTGTTGCTCTGGCGTATTTCTGAGTTTCGATTTTTTTCACCCCACCCAGTTGATTTATACGAGGAACGGAAATCGTAGACTTTTCGACGCGCAGCATGAGTGCAACAGAAAACTCAGATAGAGATACATCTGCTGGATGTGGCGTATCTGTGGGATTCGGGGGGGCAGAGACCCCGCTGAATGAAATTGGGCAAAGCGCATGAAATATGTTTGCAAACAAATTAATAACAATCGATCTGAAACTGCCCAAGTTGCCAGATCGCCCAGCCAAATGATGAACGATTAGGCTTCTGTTTTTATAATCTGGGTTACACAAACAGGCCAATAAATATATATGCCGAACGAGTGATGCAGAATTGGCCATGAGTGGCTAATATTTTACCGATCTCTAGGTGGTTTTGGCATTTTTGCGAGGGCCTCTCCATCCGTTCCAGTCCCACTCCCACTCCTAGTACCAATTCCATCCCAATTTGTTTACCATTGCATCGGCCTGGCCAGACATTGGAACGCCAAAAAGCTGTCGTAACCATAAATTAGCACCTCCTTGGGACTCCACCATATGGTTTCCATGTAAACTGCATTCTGCGCCCGAAAGATTTATCTGCCAATCCATTTCTAAATGAGTTGCTTTGCCCAAGTTTATCGCCGGCTCTCTCCCACTTGCGATTATTATTACGATATATTTACAATGGATTGGGCTGGCTTCCGTAAACAAGAGTCCCGAATCTCATGCCCTTGACGATGATCGATTGGGAATCGGAATCGGAGTATTACAATGTGCTGGTGCTACTAGCGATTCCAGACTTCCGTTTATCCCATTTGAAGGTCTTGAAAAAAAAATGTCTTATCACATAGATACGCAATTATTTAGGTGTATATTTAAAAAGTAAAATCTTAATATTTTTATGTATCCCAACTTAATTATTGTTTATATTTCTGTTAAGAATCAAAGAAAGAGCAAAGTATATTTGCTAAAAATATTTCTTATAATCATAACACATTACTAAGTAAGTAATAATATATGTATATTACAAAAATATTTAAAAGTTTTATTTTTATTGTTTATGTCTTATTATTCACTAAATTGTAAAAAATGCTTAAAGATTCAATGAAGGGAAATATGAATATATTAGATTTTCTTTTTTTAATGTAATATAAAATGATATTAAAATGAAAGTTTAAAAAGAATTATTTCTATCTTACAAAACCTATTTATACTCATTATATCCGTTTTACAAAAGTGTTTTTTGTTTCAGAGGCAATGTCGAATAGATCGTATTGTGGTTTTTCTCGATCGCTACCACCAGCTGGTTGTGGGCGAAGTTATTTGGTCAGTACCGGGCGGACACGCCCTCGCCTCTGGGGGAGGGAGATTTCTGCGGCAGTCAGGGCCTGCCATGTGTGAGGGATTACGGATTAGATGTGGCCCGGAATGGATCCGGAGCCGGGTGCAGTCGCAGCACGAGCTGGCGCTAGGCAGTCCAGTTCGGGTGTCTGTTTTATAGCCCACGATCTCCGTTGTTCGGCGCATTTACCACCTCCGTGGGCGATAAATCTGCAGTGCGCCCGTGGCGCAATGAACTCGCCTCCTCGGCAACTCCTCCACTCCACTCCTGCACTCCTCCACTCCAGTGGAATCCACCCACTCCTCCTCTTCCCTTTAATTTCAGTCGCTGCGGTTTGTTTAGCTCGCTGGCGACCATAAACACCTTGGCGCCAGTGGAAAAGAGAGATGATATCACCCCAGTTGGGTCCTTTCCCTGGAGACCCTTTGACAATGTTCGAGGTCCACTTGAGATCGACTCATTAAGCTTTTCAGCTGGTCAAGTGGACCACCTTCCTCCTTGTTCCGTGCCAAGTACACCTGTTGCCCAATTCTAAAGCCATTGCATTGTAATAATTTTATGCAGATCAGTGGTGCCAGCTTATCTGTTTTTTTGTACAATTTGGGAGGCCAAAAATACTGTACTATATAAGTTTATGTCATAATTTTCTATTACTTATAAAAATTAAGAAAACTGTATTGATTTTGTAGGCATTTATTACAACAATTTAAAAAAACATTTATGCGAAAATTGATCTTTGGTATTTCATAATGATGGTACAGACCTTTTTAAGATTTGTTGTTATATTTATTTATTTTTTTTAAATTCAATTTTAAAAATGAGTTCATTTTGTATTACAAAACACTGTATAATATTTGTATATTTGATTTACAAAATAATGATAATAATAAGATTAATGCGCATTTGCTGATTCTTCATCAAAATAAATATTTTTGAAGGTTTTAAAAAAATGTAAGAATTTATTTGCTAATACATATGTGAATGTTTGTTCATTTTAAATATTTTTTTTTATTTTTCAACCTGATCAGCACTGACTGTAGCCCATAAATCGATGGGGTTTTGTGACGACGCTCTGGCGGCTGTCGTGTGGAGCGGGCTTCCGTCGAAAGCTCTTGAAATTACACACGATATCGGGCGGTAATTATGCATGCATTTATGTTATTGTTAATTGTTTAAACAATACACCTCTTGCAGTCCGATTGTTTAACGTGTGTCTGTTTGGGGCGGGGGGTTTTGGGTTTCGAAATGGAATCGAAATTGGAAAACACAACCCCACGATCGAATTCGTTGAATGGTCTCTGTTCATTCATGGATTTGGAGAAGGAGAAGGGCGTGGGTGTGAATGATTCGATTCATGGAAAGTAGTCAATAGACATACACAGGCCGGAATAAAATATGCCCCAGCCCAATTATATAACTTCATTGCAATCACTTACAGCCCATTTTCCCCTCAATGTTTTCACTCGGCATAATTACACGAAATTCCAGAAAAAAAAACCATTGGAAAGCTTTTGCAATTGATTTATGGCCACTTCCCTGGAAATTGTCGACAAAATGTCTGGCCAGGCAGCAGATCGAATCGGTTAATGAGGGTTGGGTGTTTTATTTTTCTGATTTTCCCAAAGGAATGCCAAGCCAACGAGGAGTTGTTGGGAAGAAGTCGTTTCCGTGATTTACACGCCAACGAAATTAGAAAATAAACAATGGATTTTAGTATTTCTGGCTGGGACGCGTGATGCGGATTTCAGGCTAAATTTGATTATTTGACTTTCGGCCTAAGACGATGTCGGCCCCAGGCACTTTGATAGTGCTGAATGTGCGCAAAAAATCGGTGGAAAGGGGGTCTAATAAACTATTCGCAATTCTCGTTATGTACCATTTTATTTATTTTCTTATGTCGCGTCAACTGGTTGGCAACTTCGGCGGCAGCATCAAATGGCCCAAAAAACAAGGCACAGAACATTCAAAGCCCGGCTGACGCATAAACATCGCTCACAGCCGCATCGATCGATCTAAATATGAATCCGAATCCGAATGATGACGATGATGTACCCTAAGTGACATCAAAGCCAAAAAAAGCCTGATAAGCCAAATAAACCAAGCATCAGCATAGATAGTCAACTCAGCCAGGCGATGACTTTATTCAAAAAAGGGGGAAGGATCAGTGCTGCCTGCTCAGCCTTTTTATGGCCGATTCCAGACAATTTTAGTGCGAAAATAACAGAAAAATTTCTAAGAATGCAATTAACCTTAATTCTATTTATATTTTGGCTAGAGAAAATACGAAGGAAAATTAATTCTTTATTGCTCTTCATATTTGCGCAAATGTCTTTTGCATTCAATCATAATATAACAAGTTTAAAACTGGGTTTTTTATAAAACTATATTGTTTTATAGGTTTAGATTAAATACCATAATTTTTATGTTAGTCCTAAAAATAAAAATAAAAAGAAATACAAATATAATCAATGATGATCCCAAATTTCGAGTCCCATTTCTTGGATCCCATTTAATGGCTCGTTGAGCTGCTTTTTCCTGGCGTCTCCCGGCACATGACTGATCCATCGATCCACCCATCAGAGATCGCAGATCAAAGCGTTTCGGGCCCAACAGTCAATCAAAGTTTTCCCCTAGGAAAACGTGGAGCAACCTAGCCGGCCAATAAATTCTGCACTCCTCGCCGACCATTTTTCCCCTTTTTGATTTTCCCACTTTTCCCTAGATGGATAATTTACTCAAATGTCGACGCCTGGCGCTGATTTTTCGCGATTTTTGTTTTGGGCTTCTCGTTTTTGCATAAATCGATCATAAATTTAATTTGAAAATTGCTGTCTTAGGCCGACGTTGGCCAACTCCAAAGTCATTTCTGCGTATTTATAACTCAATAAAACTTCAAAAGTGTTCGAAAACATACGCTCTTAAAGTTTGTTTAATGCCATAAAAATGCAGTTGCCTTTATTGTTGCTTTTGTCGTTGTTATTGTGTATTAGCAGACATCGGTCGGGCACTAAAACTCGGCTATGGCTTTATGGCCTTTATAGAGCCAAAGGGCTGAAAAGGGAAGCGGAAGTTTACTCTATGGAGTAAAAGGAGATCCTACATAACAAAGTTCAATTGATTCGGCAGAGAGCAAACAATCAATCTGAATTTGATCATGAAATTTGAAGTCCGATTTCTCCGAAACCATTAAGACATAAAGTTTTTGGAACTATTCTTGGGCTATTTGAAAATGGAGTTTTTATATGAATAAGGAGTTTGTATAATTTTGGAAAGAAATTTTTAGAAAAATTCCCCATATTATTTTATTTTATATTATATAAATAAAATAAATTTCTATCTTTCCCCTTTTTTAAAATTTCTAATTGTCTCTTCATTTTATGTACCTTTTCCCCCCTTTAAGTTAAATTTATTCTTGTCACATTTTTCCCATTGTGATTTCAGCTTTTTCAGCGTTGTAAAAACGAACCAATTTGTGTTCATTAATTTGTGAGAATTTTTTCCCACACTCAATTACAAATGTCATCCCGCCGACCTGGCTGCAAGTGAGTGTGGTTATTAAACCAGCGATATGAATTTACTTTAGAGCCATTGTCTATTATGGCCTGGTTAATTGCAACGACAGCTGCCAAAACAACGGCAAACCGTGCAAGAACAACAACATCATCATCATCATCATCATCGTAGTCGAAAAAGCGTGTTGTTGTCACCGCTGTTGAGCGCCGACCGCTGAATTTATTGTTATAAGGGGGCAATGATAACAGGTCATCAACACAACTGGCCAGGTAAATAAATATCAAGGGGGTAGGATGACGTTTTTGGGGCATGGGTTTGGGGTGCCGGGAAAAGCGCGAAAAATAAGCAGCGTTAATTACAAAGGATCTCCCGGGGGCCAAGTCATAGTCATAGAATAGATACAATGTATCCGTTAGATACCAAAATCCTTGTGCACAACACATTTGGCAGCTGGCCCGGCTAATACTTGCATTTAATTAGGCTTGCAATAATATTTATGTAAATCGGGCTGGTTGCGCGATGAGCCACAGAGACAGCTGTCAATATTTGTGAGCGGTACGTACACATATACGTCCACCTCCCTAACCCAAAAACCAAACCCGTAACCCCCTCGCTATCACCCGCTTTGATTATTGGACATTTGGCATTGTTGTCCTGCGAGTTTCCCTATGTGTGGGCGCGTCCTTATCGCTAAGCAAACAGTGCAACATTTTGTCGCCATCGCATTTGTTTTTCTTGTCCTCCGCCTGTGAAACAGAGGATTCCCGGATTCGGGTTTGTAAATTCTGGACCACCCGCGCAATCAGCGACGTCCGTACTGCACTCCAAGCAAACACATATCCCATCTCGTCATAACCTCTATCCATACCCGGCCACTCTTGTTGTTTTCGCATTTAATTTTGTTGCTTTTGACACCGAATGGAGTCCGGATGGCTTCGCATTTTCGTTGTCAACCAGGCAGCCGAGAATTTTTGGTGCCCAAACTGCTGAATTTGCATACCAAACTCGCTCGGGCACTGGCCAGCCAAATATTTAGATTCGGAAGACTACAAAACGCAGAGCTAATAGTAATATCAATTGTTGATAATCTTATTTTAAATGATTTGAATTTTAAAAACGGGTCCTTCAATTAACTCAACTCCACCATTTCTTATCTAAACTTAACTGATAGAAGTTAAAAGTTCGGATCCTAGTTTTTCAATTAAGTTAAAAATGGTAATAATAATACAAAAACTCTGGCAATATTATCTTATGTTTTATGATCTTGTTTTATATGATCTTTACTTATATTGACTACAATTTGGTGATAAACTATTCCTATCAGAGGGAAATATTAAAGAGAGTGTATAAACATTTAACAATTTGAATATTTGTGTAAGTATTATTATTATTATCTTTAAAATTATATATATATATTATATATTATTACTATAATGCTTTCGACATTAACAGAATTAACAAAATTAAATTATTCATAAAATTCGATTACAAATTTTAAGAACTGTGGATAGAAACCCTGCATCTGCTGCACAGTGTAGACCTTTATTTTTGAAAAATTAAAAGGAAATGTCTTGAACACCTACTTATTTCTGGTGCTCAGTGTAGACCACTTTTGAA